CTCATCTGTAGTGGACCTCTGTCCTGATTAATACCTACATCTTAAGTTTGTGAATGTCTGAGAGCAACAGGTAACATTGGGTGAAGCGCTCTAGATTTAAAAAATGCTGAACAGTTGAGAATGGTGAACTGAAACTAAGCTGAATCTTATATACAATCTTATGTTTAGGCTCAAACTTAAATCGCAGAAGTGCTAAGCCTCTAGCAGTAGATATTAAAAAGTCCATTTTAGAACTGAGGATTTTTTTTACTACTGTCTGATATATGTTTGCAATGGGGCACAGCTGAAACATATACTATGTTAGGCTGCGTTAATACACGTACTTTATCCAGCTCAAAAGGTTAAGCCCATCTTACCCTACAATATTTAGTTTTAGGTGCCATATTTTAAAGAGATGTGACAAACTAAAAATGATCAGTCTTTGGAGGTTGATGAATGCTCACCAAACTCAAAAGAGACTGAAGGGTAAACAGCAGGATTTCTCAATGGGTAATCTCCATTTATAATGAATATTCTAACCGCATGGAAATTAGCCTTCCAAGTCTTCTCTTCATTAATTCATCATATACTTATTGCAAAAATTCATCACATACTTATTTCAGGCCCTGCTCTAGGCATTGGGAATTCAAAACACAAAAATATCTGCTCTCAAGGAGTTTGTTTACATTTTAGTCTGGGGAGACATAATAAAATAAGCAGATTAGTGATATAGTATGTTAGAAGGTCATATGTGCTACAAATAGTATGGTCAGGGAAGACTTGCTGAGAAGATGAGTGTCTTGGTCTGTTCAGGCTGCTATAACAAAATGCCTTAAACTAGGTGGTTTATAAAGAATAGAAGTTTATTCATCAGTTCTGGAGGCTGCGAAGTCCAAGATGGAGCATTTGGCATATTCAGTATTTGGTATGCATCCACTTACTTGTATATAGATGGCACCTTCTAGCTATGTCCTCACATGGTGGTAGATGGGAAAGGGTAGCTCTTCAGGGCCATTTTTATAGGGCACAAATTCCATTCATGAGGGATATGTCCATATGACCTAATCACCTCTAACAGTCCCACCTCCTGATACCATCACCTTGGTGATTAGGTTTCAACAGAATTTTGGAGTGACACAAACTTTCAAACCATAGCAGTAAAAGAGAAACTATGTATTATCAGGAGAAAGAGCACCCATATTCAGTAAGAGCAGGTTTGAAGGCCCTAGGGCAGGAGCAGACCTGCAGTGTCTGTGGAACAGCAAAGAGGAATGGATTGAGGAAGAAAGGAAGAGAGAGAATAGGAAGAGGATGAGGTCAGAGAAATCATGGGAGGACCAGGTTATACAGGGTTTATAGGCTGTATAGACTTTGGCTTTTGCTGTCAATAAGATGAGAAGCCATTGGAGAGGTTATGAGCAGAAGAAAGACTTGCTCTAACGTATTTTAATAAGATGACTCATGCTCAGTGTTGAGATTGGATTATGGGGGTTAGTGTGGGGCAGGGAAACCAAAGTAGGGCAACTAGTTAGGAGTTTATAGCAATAATCCAGTGTGGCTTGGAGCAGGATGGAAATAGTGGTAGTGGTAAGAAGTGATTAGATTCTGAATATTTTGATGGTTGAGTCAACAGATTACACTGTTGGATTGAATGTGGGGTGTAAGAATGTAAGAACATAAACAAAAATGGCTGACATTTTGCTCTGAGCATCTGGAAGGACAGAGTCACCATTAACTGAAAACAGGGAACTGTGAATGGAGCAAGTTTGAGGTAAATGTCAGGAGGGACAGGTTGCGATGCCCACTGAACATCCAAGTGTTTATGGTTAGTATGTTCTTCCTCTGTAGGCCCTTGTAAGTAGGAAGCCAAGTCATAAACTGTTTTCTTAGGAATGAAAGACTAGGCCAGGCGTGGTGGCTCATACGTATAATCCCAGCACTTTGGGAGGCCAAGGCGGGTGGATCATGAGGGATCATGAGGTCGGGAGTTTGAGACCAGCTCAGCCAACATGGTGAAACCCCCGCCTCTACTAAAAATGCAAAAATTGGTCAGGAGTGGTGGCACACACCTGTAATTCCAACTACTTGGGAGGCTGAGACAGGAGAATAGCTTGAACCCAGGAGGCGGAGGTTGCAGTGAACCAGAATCAGGCTACTGCACTCTAGTCTGGGAGACAAAGCAAGACTCCATCTCAAAAAAAAAAAAAGGAATGAAAGACTAAAGCAGATAAGAATTGAAGGATCATGGTGACTAGTCTGTGATAGTCTGAGCCATCTTACCCTCATCTTGCAAGGGTCCAGAAACAATCTTTCCCCTTGGACAGGGCTGGAGAAACAAGACCAAGTGCTGTCATTGGCCTTCCCCTTTCTAGACTCATCTTAACCATTCCTTTTTGTATACATTGTTCCTTTAGCATTGGCAGAGCAGGCTATACCTTTTTAATGGTTTTTTTTTTTTTTTTTTGAGACACAGTTTCACTTTTGTTGCCCAGGCTGTAGTACAATGGCATGATCTGGGCTCACCGCAGCCTCCACCTCCCGGGTTCAAGTGATTCTCCTGCCTAAGCTTCCTGAGTATCTAGGATTACAGGCATGCGCCATCACACCCGGCTGATTTTGTATTTTTAGTAGAGATAGGGTTTCTCCATGTCAGTCAGGCTGGTCTTGAACTCCCAACCTCAGGTGATCTGCCCACCTCAGCCTCCAAAAGTGCTGAGTCTATAGGCCTGAGCCACCAAACCCTACCAGACTGTAGCTTTATATCTTCATGAGATTGTACTACCCAATGGAGGCTGTATGTGGTGACCTCAGTTGAGCATGGAACTTCTGAGCAACTCACTGAAACCATTTTTTTTCTCTTTCTTTTTAAAATTTTTTTTTTTAGTTCTTTTTTTTTTTTTTTTTCTTTTTTAAGTGAAGACAGGGTCTCATCATGTTGCCCAGGTTGGTCACGAAATCCTGGGCTCAGGCAGTTTTACCTCTCAAAGTATTGGGATTACAGGCATGAGCCCCCATGCTGGCCTGAAACCATTTTCAATCATTACTTTGAGGAATTACTTATTTTGATGGTTAATTACTGAAAGCATTGTTTTTTACTCTCAGTTTACTTTTGGAGGGTAACCTTGTCTTTATTTAAGTCTCCTACCAATAAATGTTAGTTAAATGAAAGTTGGTGGAATACTTTGTGTCAATCCTATGTTTCCAACTGTGGGGTTGTATTTGCAAACTGCCATGTCTTAGGGTAAAATACCTGGGAATATCTCATTTAGAAAGAAAGATAAATTGCAGCCCCAAACATTTGAAAGGATTATTATGTAAAATAGGGAGTTGGCTTATTTTTCTCATTCCCCAAGGGGCAGAAGATTGTTTATGGGTAGAACTTACAAGAAGGCAGATGGCCTTAGTTGATGTCATTTAACAGTGGAATAGGTTATTTCTTGATATAGGAGGATTGTGAGAAACATTCAAAAAGATACTAGATGGCTGGTAGGCTGAACTGATTTTTACACAAGCATACTTCATTTTAATGTGCTTTGCTTTAATGCACTTCACAGATAATTGTGGTTGTTTTTTAAACAAATTAAAAGGTTTGCAGTGACCCTACATTAAGCAAGTCTGTCGGCGCCATATTTCCCACAGCATGTGCTCACTTAGTCTCTCTGTGTCAGCATTTTTTAGCAATAAAGTATTTTTAAATTAAGGTCTGTACATTGATTTTTTTAGACAATGCTATTGAGTACTTAATAGACTACAGTATAGTGTAAACAAAACTTTTTTTTTTTTTTGGGGTTAGACTCTGTCGCCCAGTCTGGAGCGCAGTGGCGTGATCTCGACTCACTGCAACCTCCACCTCCCAGGTTCAAGCGGTTCTCCTGCCTCAGCCTCCTGAGTAGCTGGGATTACAGGCGCCTGCCACCACGCCCAGCTAATTTTTGTATTTTGGATAGAGACAGGTCTCACCGTATTGGCCAGGCTGGTCTTGAACTCCTGACCTCATGATCCACTCGCCTCAGCTTCCCAAAGTGTTGGGATTACAGGTGTGAGCCACCACACCCAGCCAACAAAACTTTTATATGAACTGGAAAACCAGAAACCTTGTTTGACTCACTTTATTGTTATATTGGCTTTATTGTGACGGTCTGAAACTGAACCTGCAATATCTTTGAGGTAAGCCTGTATTAAATGAGGTGAGATGTTTCTGAAGTACCCTTCAAAATTTAAGATTGCTATGATTATGTCATCTTTTTCCTTGTTACCGAACGCTTGATGCAACTGGGGAACATTAGCCTTCCAAGTCTTCTGTTCATTAGAAGTACTTCATTAGAACTGCGATATCCCAGAAGTTCTGTAGTTCTCCAGGTATCTAAGGAAAAGGTAACCTTTTCCTTAGATAGAAAAGGAGTATATTTGTGAAATGGTTGACTGGGTGGGAGGGCATCAGGCAGAGTGTGTGGTCCTGTAATGTCTTGTAGTACTAAGGTTATTAAATGATCAGCAGATGACCTTGTCTTCCTTAGCCTTAGGCTTTGGCCGGGTAAACTGGTTAGTTAATGGTTATTGAGGTTTCTATGCAATGAAGCATTTGTGGGAGGTTGGGAAGATACTGTCGTAGCTCTAAAAATACAAAGTGTTGGAATGTACAGGAAAACAGGGTGGATTTATCTTTCATACATATGGACCCCATCTGGCAAGTGACCTCTGAAATCTCCAGAAGTGCAGGATAAGCTTTTGTATGTTTTGTATGGCATAGGTTTACAAATAATTACATTTTATGAACTGCTATATATGTGTATGTGTATGTATGTGGACATTGTATATATTCCTCACCACAGGAGAAATAAAAAAAGTCAAATTAGCATTCTTAATGCTCATCAGAATAAAGACATGTACACTTATGTTAGCATCCAAATAAATACTAAATATTGCTAAGGCTAGTCTAGCATATTATGGACATTTTTGAGTATGTATTTTATTTTTATCATATTTGAAAATTAATTATGGTATCAATTTATATTTTATAGGATCTAAGCCTTTCCCACGTTATGGTTATAAACCCTCCCCACCGAATGGATGTGGCTCTCCACTGTTTGGTGTTCATGTAAATATTGTCTTTTATTTGATAAATTTTATGACTGGTAAATCATGTAATACTTCTGGGAGATATAAGACTACCACCATGTTCTCAGATACACAAATAATTTAGCTGGGCGTCATAGTGATCAGGTTTATTAGATTCTTTCTGGCAAAACTTCTAACAAAAGTAAATGAAGTAAATTGTTTTATTTTTGAATCTTATAGATGTTAATACTATTTTAATAATATTTCCTAATATCACATACATAGGTGAAAAGTTTGGAGTACAGAAGTAATACTACTTAGAGGGAAAAAGTATAGATAAAGCATGTTTTCTACATTAAAACAAGGCCAAGTGGGATAGCTGTGTGGTTGTTGTAGGAAAGGCTGGATCTAAGCCAAGAATTATGGGAAAAAAGTGTTTATGAGAATGATTCCTAGACACAAGGATTTTATATATAAAGTTATTTAATTGAAATTATAGATTCAGAATAATAGTATCTTTGGGGAATGTAGAAGTATTTAAAGATGAAAAAAGTAAAATTTGAGTTACAGGAAAGTTTTCTGTGGTATTTCACATAAAGTAAATTTTATTTCAAAGAAGAGGCCACAAAACACTTTGAATATCCAAAAATCATACTTGCCTAGCCCTTGGGGACTCTTTAATAGACTTAGCCTTATCTTTCTGTTTTTAAAACTACATTTTGTGTTTTGGACAAACGGGAATTGTGTTAGTTACTGACAGGTAACTGAGTATTCTAATGCTGCAGAATAGGGAGCAGTGAGGCATGGCTGAGAGAGTAACATGGGTGGGTATGGGTAAGTGTAATGAGGAGATTTATAACACAAAGTATTTGTAGGCAGAGACAGAGTTTGGAACTATCTCTACGGCAGTCATTGTCATTTGTATCCATTTAGTCTATTTGAATGCGGTACTTCAGCAGAGGAGTTTAGCATTTCATTGACAGTAATCCATCCAACTGCCTCTTTCAGCTTAACATTGGTATCCCTTCCCTGACAAAATGCTGCAACCAACATGACAGGTGCTATGAGACCTGTGGCAAAAGCAAGAATGACTGCGACGAGGAGTTCCAGTACTGCCTCTCCAAGATCTGCCGAGATGTACAGAAAACACTAGGACTAACTCAGCATGTTCAGGGTAAGGATCTGGCCGCTTGGGGATGAGTATACTTTTTAAAGTTTTATCAAATGCTTTATGTTTTAGTACAGAATTTACCAATAGAAAATGTTCGCATATATTATCTATTGTGACACAGACTTCAATTTTCTGGGGTGAGGAGCTGATGATTTTGTGACTTAAAATGATTTATAGTCACAGAAGCAAAAAGCATTAGGAAACCTTGGGATAGTGGGGGTGTCAGGCCGAGAGAGAGAAGAATTCATCTACCTTGTGCCCTGAAATATATGTCCAGTCATCATGTAAGAACCTGAAGTAGCTAAAGTTTGAAACTCTAATTCCAGTTGTCTTGGTCCGTCTGGACTGCTACCATAGACTGGGCGGCTTATAGACAAGAGAAAGTTATTTTGTACAGTTCTGGAGGCTGGGAATTCCACGATCAAGGCACTAGCAGATTTGGTATAGGATGAGGACGCATCTTCTAGTTCGTAGAAGATAACCTTCCAACTGTGTCATCACTTAGTGGAGAGGACTAGATATCTCTCTGGGGCTTCTTTTATAAGAGCACTAATCATATTCGCCATCCTTTTGACCTTAAACACCTCCGAAGGCCTCACCTTCTACTTCCTTACTTTGGAGGTGAAGTTTTCAACATGAATTCTGGAGAGACAGCATTTGGATCATACCACCAGTGAATTTAAGAGTTTAACACACGGCTGGGCGCGGTGGCTCAAGCCTGTAATCCCAGCACTTTGGGAGGCCGAGGCGGGTGGATCACGAGGTCGAGAGATCGAGATCATCCTGGTCAAAATGGTGAAACCCTGTCTCTACTAAAAATACAAAAAATTAGCTGGGCATGGTGGCGCATGCCTGTAATCTCAGCTACTCAGGAGGCTGAGGCAGGAGAATTGCCTGAACCCAGGAGGCGGAGGTTGCGGTGAGCCGAGATCGTGCCATTGCACTCCAGCCTGGGTAACAAGAGCGAAACTCCGTCTCAGAAAAAAAAAAAAAAAGAGTTTAACACACTAGATTTGGAGTAGGAATTTCTGGAAGACTTAACACTCCCTTCTGTTGGGTAGGTCCCCAGATGACCCCCAGGTTCAGTGATTCACTAAGAGGACTCACAGGACTCAGCATATATACTCCCTGCCATGATATATATGTTGAAGTGATACGAAGCCAAACTAGCAAAGGGAAAAGGCCCTTTGATGTCATTTTTAAAATGAGGAGAATGATAATACTCACTTCATAGAGTTGTCATAAGAATGAAATGAAATATTTGTAGAAATACAAGTAAATCACCATTTAAATACTAGTAGTTACAAGATTTCTCTACTGTCAAGCCAAAGAACATACCATACACTGCAATCAGAAGAGGCAAGGTGGGAAAGGAAAATAACATTTTAAGCACTTATCATAAGGTACTGTGCTAGACACTTTATTCGTGTTTTCATTTGATGCCAACAAAAACCTAAAGAGGTAGGTGGTATTACCATTTTTGAAGGAAGGAAACAAAGGTTCAGAATACAGTAACTTGCCCCAAGTGAGCATTTAGCCTAACTGACTTTAAAATCTGTGTTCTGTCTATTTCACAATATTCTCCAAATAGTCTCGCATTGTAACCCTGATTCTAATATCCCAGTAATTCATGTCAAGGAAGAAATCTCTGCTGCAGGTAATCTTGAATTTACAGCCTCTGTATCCCTTTGCAGCTTTTGGCTAAGGTAAACCAGCTATAAACTTCTGAAGCATAGAATTTCTTGTTTCTGATTTAAGGAGAATGTGAAACCAATTATCTTATAACCTCCTTTTTTTTTTTTCCGAGAAGGAGTTTCGCTCTTGTTACCCAGGCTGTAGTGCAATGGAGCAATCTCGGCTGACTGTAACCTCCGCCTCCTGGGTTCAGGCAATTCTCCTGCCTCAGCCTCCTGAGTAGCTGGGATTACAGGCACGCGCCACCATGCCCAGCTAATTTTTTGTATTTTTAGTAGAGATGGGGGTTTCACCATGTTGACCAGGATGGTCTCGATCTCCTGACCTCGTGATCCACCCGCCTCGGCCTCCCAAAGTGCTGGGATTACAGGCGTGAACCACCGCGCCTGGCCCATAACCTCTTATTTAATAGTCACAGCCTTGTTTTTATTTCTTGTTTTCTGATTTAAGGAGAATGTGAAACCAATTATCCTGTAACCTCCTATTTAATAGTCATAGTCTCTGCACTTCTGTGATTGGTTGTTTCTTAATGGCAGTCTTTTGGAGAACTTTGAAAATGTTAAGATTTCGTAATGAAAAGTTTCTTCCTTAACATACATATTTGAAATGAAAAGTTTTTAGATAACTAAAATCCAGTCTGTGCTATAGCTCTGTAAGTGTAACACATTAAGATAATCTCACCTGGATGTTTCAGGTTTCTTAGAATAAGAAAAGTAAATAAATTATCCTTTTATAGTCTTAAAAAAAAATTTTAAACCTGGCTGGGGCTGGGTGCAGTGGCTCACGCCTGTAATCCCAGCACTTTCGGAAGCCGAGGCTGGTGGATCACTTGAGCCTAGGAGTTTGAAAGCAGCCTGGCCAACATGGTGAAATCCTGTCTCTAACAAAAAAAAAAATAGAAAAATTAGTCGGACGTAGATGCCTGTAGTCCTGGCTACTCAGGAGGCTGAGGTGGAAGAATCACTTGAACCCAGGAGGCAGAGGTTGCAGTGAACCAAGATCATGCCACTGTACTTCAGCCTGGGCAACAGAGTGAGACCTTGTCTCAAAAAATAAATAGATAAAATAAACCTGACTAGAGAAAAATACTTTTTATTTCTATGCTCCTGTGCCCCCCAGTCAAATTTGGACATTGGTCAAAGAGACTGGGTTCCATTTACTTTACGCCTCTTAACTGATATATGATCAGTCCTCAGAAGCCATTGGCCATAATGAAATGTTTTGAGGTTTCAATTTTTAAACTTTGTTTCTTCTGCACATAAAACATCTTTTCTCAAAATGCAAATTTAAGGGCTGGGTGCACGGGCTCGTGCCTGTAATCCCTGCACTTTGGGAGGCTGAGGCGGGCAGATCATGAGGTCAAGAAATCGAGACCATCCTGGCCAACATTGTGAAACCCCATCTCTACTAAATACAAAAATTAGCTGGGCGTGGTGGCGCACACCTGTAGTCCTAGCTACTCAGGAGACTGAGGCAGGAGAATTGCTTGAACCCAGGAGACAGAGGTTGCAGTGAGCCGAGATCGCGCCACTGCACTCCAGCCTGGCACTTGACAGCAGAGTGAGACTCTGTCTCAACAACAACAAGAAATGAAAATTTAAGAGTATTATCAGACATATCTGTTAGTGATTATGTTTTTCAAATAAAAAGAAAGTTAACACTGATTAATCAGTGCTATTTTAAAAGACATATTTGTCTAGTTTAAACAATTGGGCCAGGCATGGTGGCTCATGCCTGTAATCCCAGCACTTTGGGAAGACAAGGTAGGAGGATTGCTTGAGCCTAGGAGTTTAAGACCAGCCTGGGCGACATAGTGAGACCTCATCTCTACTAAAAAGTAAAAAAATTAGCTGGGTGTGGTCATGTGTCTGTTTAAAATTAAAAATTAAATTTAAATTAAAAATTAGCTGGCCATGATAGTGCCAGCTACTCAGAGGCTGAGGTGGAAGGATCACTTTAGCCCAGGATGTTGAGACTGCAGTAAGCTGTGACTGCACCGTGACACTCCAGTCTGGGTGTCAGAGTGAGACCCTGTCTTAAAAAAAAAAAAAAAAATTGGGTTGAACAGTTGAATGCAAACAAAAAATAAGATGCATGATAACAAGACTAAAACTGGAAGTCCGTAGATACATACATGTGTGTATGTAAATATGCTACTGGCCTGTGACAGTTCGGTACTTTGATCTAGCATACATTTCAGTGCTCACTAGGGATGTGCTTGTCGCTGTGCTGTAATGTGTAACATAGGTGAAGAGAGAGCCGTGCTTTGCAGTTGCCCAAGAGTAATCGCATTTTCTTATTTTGCAGCCTGTGAAACAACAGTGGAGCTCTTGTTTGACAGTGTTATACATTTAGGTTGTAAACCATATCTGGACAGCCAGCGAGCCGCATGCAGGTGTCATTATGAAGAAAAAACCGATCTTTAGGAGATGCTGACAGCTGGTGATGGAAGAAGACCAAAGAACATAACCTTTGACAAATAACTAATGTTTTTACGACATAAAACTCTCTTATTTTTGTGAAAGGATTATTTTGAGACCTTAAAATAACTTATATCTTGATCTTAAAACCTCAAAGAAAAAAAGGGAGATAATAAGGGGAGGGCACGCTTGTCTTCTCAGGTATCTTCCTGGAGACTGCTCCCTTAGTATGCCAAACGTCTTGACCAGTGTCAAAAACAAGTGTTCATTAAAGGGAGAATTTTTGAAAAGAAGAGTATATAACTCAGTTTTGCACACCTATATTTACCAAAAACAGATCAAATGTAAAACTCATTATAAGGTCTGTTCAACATTATCTTATTTGGAAATATGGGAAAAGCATCACTTACAAGTATTTGTTTACTACGAAATTTTAAATACACATTTAAGCCTAGAAGGAACGGACTTTTAAAAATTTTTTATCTTTTTTTTTTTTTTTTTTTTTTGAGACGGAGTTTCGCTCTTGTTACCCAGGCTGGAGTGCAATGGCGCGATCTCGGCTCACCACAACCTCCGCCTCCTGGGTTCAGGCAATTCTCCTGCCTCAGCCTCCTGAGTAGCTGGGATTATAGGCACGTGCCACCATGCCCAGCTAATTTTTTGTAATTTTAGTAGAGACGGGGTTTCACCATGTTGACCAGGTTGGTCTTGATCTCTTGACCTCGTGATCCAGCCGCCTCAGCCTCCCAAAGTGCTGGGATTACAGGCTTGAGCCACCGCACCCGGCTGTTTTATCTCTTTTAATTACACATATGTAATTAAAATACAGCATAATGTTTGTTGTTTCTCTGTAGCCCGTTGAGCATCTGAGTAAGTCACATTTCTATTGGGACTACTTACAAGGACAAGGTTTTCATTTTTCCAGTTGTAAAATTGGAACTGTCAGCTGATAAACTCGTAGAGAGCAAACCCGGGATATCTAAATGTCATACGCCTTGAAGGTGATGGGAACACAATTCAGAATTATAGCCACTTTCATTTTATGAGCTACTCACATGATAAATGTCCTATTTTGCTATAACCTTTGCCAAATTGGAGTAAAGATGGACTTGATGAGATAAAGGAAAATATATTTAATATAATTCATCAAGGCACTATTTGCTGTTGTGCTTTGATATTTATTTCCCAGCACTTGTTCCTTATAGATTTTTTTTAAAGACTGTAACCTTTTACTAACTGTGGTCTTACTAAAATTTGTGCTTGATACTGCTTTTTAAAAAACCTTTAACTGGAGCCAAAGGGATGGAAAAGGCAAGACATAAATGACTGCCTTTTATAGATCTCTTATTTACATTGAAAATTATTACCGTATGTTTAGAGCAAATCCCAGAAAACTTCAGCAGCTTCTGAAGATGTCTATGAATGTTGAAAACTTTTCAATCTCTTGGAATGCTCAGTTTTGTTCCTAGGCTGGTCTTTGCTTGTTGTTAACCTTTCCCTGGTGCCAGCCCTCAAGCCATATGTAGCCTTTGGGTAACCCATGGCCAAAGTTATTAAGATGAACTGACTTTCAAAGTTAGAGAAGGACACCATAGGGAGAGGTGGTTCTTTTTAAGTCATTACAGATAGAACAGGGCAGAAGAAAAAATATTTTCTGGAGAAAGGGCCATGTTCCTCACTTTGGAGATGTGTCATTGCCAGGAACCTAGTATCATCCAACTTGAATTGGTCTGTTCTACTGAGACAAGGCACATGTATACCTTGTGGCTAATTGAGCAAACTGGGATTCCATTTAAATGTTTGGAACTCTCAATTGATACTTTATTTCAAAGCTTTATAAAAGGTACAGTTTTGTAAGCCATTATTAACACTTAACGCTTATCAGCTGGGTGCAGTGGCTCATGCTGTAATCCCAGCAGTTTGGGAGGCTAAAGCGGGTGGATCACTTGAGGTCAGCAGTTTGAGACCAGCTGGCCAACATGGTGAAATGCCGTCTACTAAAAATACAAAAATTTGCTGGGCGTGGTGGCACATGCCTGTAGTCACAACTACTCGGAAGGCTGAGGCAGGAGAATCACTTGAACCCAGGAGGCAGAGGTTGCAGTGAGCTAAGATTGTGCCACTGCACTCCAGCCTGGGCAACAGAGCGAAACTCTGTCTTAAAAACAACTTAATGGTTTATCAATATTTATTATTGAAATACTTGTCCAGGTAACTTTAAACTTGTAATGAAGTCAGGTATTTTCCTAGCAGCATTAGCTTTCTCAAAAGGACAAACGCAGTATCTTTATAAGATGTAATTAATTCATGATCACAAATTACACAAAAATCAGTAGAAACAGTTTTTTAAATTCAGATTAAAAAAAAAACTTGGAATAATTTTAGATTTACAGAAAAGTTGCAGAGATACATGGAGAGCTTCTGTGTGCCACTCACTCAGTTCTCCCAATGTTAACCTTTTATTTAACCATGAAGCATTTGTCAGAAGCTAAGAAACCAACATTGGTAATTAACTGTTAATGGAACTTGACTTTATTTTCAGATTGCACTAGTTTTTTTTTTGTTGTTGTTGTTGTTTTTTTGTTTTTTTTTTTTTTTGAGATGGAGTTTTACTCTTGTTACCCAGGCTGGAGTGCAATGGCGTGATCTCGGCTCACTGCAACCTCCACCTCCTGGGTTCAGGCAATTCTCCTGCCTCAGCCTCCTGAGTAGCTGGGATTACAGGCATGCACCACCATGCCCAGCTAATGTTTTGCATTTTTAGTAGAGATGGGGTTTCACCGTGTTGACCAGGATGGTCTTGATCTCTTGACCTCGTGATCCACCTGCCTCAGCCTCTCATAGTGCTGGGATTACAGGCTTGAGCCACTGTGCCTGGCTGCACTAGTATTTTTATTGTCATTTTCCTTTTCCAGGATCCAGTCTAGGATACCACACTGAATTAGTCATCATGCCTAATCAGCCTCTGGTCTGTGATAGTTCCACAGTCTGTCTTTGTTTTTCTTGACCTTGACAGTTTTGAGGAGTACTGGTCAGGTGTTTTTTAGAATGTGCCTCAATTTGGGTTTGTCTGATGTTTTCCTCAATATTAGAATGGGGTTACAAATTTTTAGGAAGAATATCAGAGGTGAAGGTCCTTCTCACTGCATCATGTCAGGAGTTACATACTATCAGCTTGATGGTGTATTAACTTTGGACACTTGGTTAAGGTAGTGTCTGTTGGTTTTCACTGCTGAAAATTACTGTTTATTTTCCCTTTCCGTACTTTGGTTCTTTGGAAAACAGTCACTAAGTCCAGTCATGGGAGGTGGTGGGTGGTTAAGATTACATTCAACCTCCTGGAAATGGGAATATCCATAGATAGTACTTGGAATTTTTCTGTATGGAAAATTTGTCTCTCCCTTCCACCCTGATTTGTTTACATCAGTATGGACTCATATATATTTTATATTTTGGGTAACACAGTATTTATTTTGTTGCTTACATTGTCCAGCTTGGCTATTAGGAATCCTGTCATGGTTGGCTCCTATGTTCCTTTGATGTGCCTGCCCATCCTTACGAATACCGAGCACTTCCTTACTTTCTGGCACTACAAGATGCTCCAGGTTCATCTTGTATATTCCCTGCCTCAGCCCTAGAATTGGCCCCTGCTCTAAAGAGCCCTGGTTCCTTTTGTTGGAGAATGATACTTAGAAACCAAGATTTGGGCACTAGATGTGCTTGTTGCTACTGGGATGTCCCTGTTTGTAGCAGAGTTGAGAAATACGTATGTGTATTAATCCATGCACATGTGCACATTTAAAATACTGTATGTGTGTACAAAGCTAAACGTGAGTTTGTACTGCCATCTTCAACTCAAAATTTGTCCCACAATTTTGTGGCATATATTTAGATTTTAAAGTTGATATTTTCCCTATTGACACAATAAACTCATTAAAAGCGCAAAAAACCAAAAACTAACTTTCAGCAGCTCTTTGCAAGAAATATAATGTTGATATTTAAAAATAATACTGACGCCGGGCGCGGTGGCTCAAGCCTGTAATCCCAGCACTTTGGGAGGCCGAGGCGGGTGGATCACGAGGTCGAGAGATCGAGACCATCCTGGTCAACATGGTGAAACCCCGTCTCTACTAAAAATACAAAAAATTAGCTGGGCATGGTGGCACGTGCCTGTAATCCCAGCTACTCAGGAGGCTGAGGCAGGAGAATTGCCTGAACCCAGGAGGCGGAGGTTGCAGTGAGCCGAGATCGTGCCATTGCACTCCAGCCTGGGTAACAAGAGCGAAACTCCGTCTCATTAAAAATAATAATAATAATAATAATACTGCCTTCAAATGATGCCTGTCTATTTAAAATCTTTTGACATAGTTCCTTATTTCATAGTTGGAGAAACAGCATAGAGCTGTAATGAAGACAGAATTGAGATATGAGGGCAAAAGCTAATAAACACATCCTCTTAGGTAACCTTTCTTTCAGTGAACCTGTAAACTAGTCTAGTAAAACTTGTTAAAATTAGTTGCTAGAGGCTGGACATGGTGGCTCAGGCCTGTAATCCCAGCACTGGAAGGCCAAGGCAGGAAGATTACTTGAAGTCAGAAGCTCAAGACCAGCCTGGCCAACGTGGTGAAACCCTGTCTCTACTAAAAATACAAAAATTAGCCGGGCACGGTGGCGTATGGTTGTAATCCCAGCTACTCAGGAGGTAAAGGCACCAGAATTGCTTGAATCTGGGAGGCGGAAGTTGCAGTGAGCAAAGATTGCACCACTGCACGCTAACTTGGGTGACAAACCCAGACTCATTCTTGGGGGAAAAAAAAAATTGCTAGCCTGAAACCAACTCTCCCTAAATTTAAAAAAATGATTATTTCTCTCAGCATATATAGAAGTACAAGATTATCAGAAGATGTGATGCACAATGATTATTATTTTGTCCTAGTACAAGACAGGTATAAAATCTAGTAAAGAAGATGGAATCTTTATATAAAAAAAAGTTCTGTTATTAATAGTTGACTGGCTTCAGTAACTAGGAGTACTGAGGAGTAGAATGAAACTTAGGCAAGATCTTTCCACATACACTACATTGCATTGTTCAGAATTCATAGAAATTACTTGCAGTATATTGATTTAAGTCTTGTGTAGTGACTGGTGCTGTATTTGAAGTAGCCCCTTTAGTCTGCTGTTTTTCACTGCTTAACCCTACAAAAACCAGCCATCTGCCTATGATCAGTGACAAGCCAAGACCTTCAGTTTCAAAAAGTTCCACTTTTATTTATATTTTAAAGTAATATATTGCCTTCGAATAATGCTCGTCTACTTAAAATCTTTTGACACTCTTCTTCCAGGGACAGAGATGGCTCTGTTTATTTCATAAAGGAGACATTGAGCACAGAGAATCTGTAATGAAGACATGCTTGAGATACGAGGGCAAATCAGTTTCAATAAGTCACTTTCATGGAAAACT